GCCCTCGACATGCCTCCTAAACTCGAGGTAAGTGGGTGGTTTACTGCACGCTTGCAAATGGACGGAAAGCGTGTGAGAATTCAGCGGCTGAATTAGCAACTCCTAACAGCGTTCATCGCTCGGACTGAATCGAAAATAACCACTACCCGCCGTGTGGGTCTATACCGGTCATAGTTCTCGAATCTCGATTGCTGACCAAAAGGTCGCTGGGCCGTATCCTGGCCATGGCAGCCACATGTGAAATGCAAGCGACTCGTGTACTAGAAATAGGTTCATATGGTGAAATGTTCCGACCCCCTCCGCATCCCTCGCCGCCATATCGTGGTTTTGGGATGCAAAACCCCAACAATTATTATTGTGAAAATAAACGCCACACATTTTTCCCAACTTCCTCAGCTCCTTCGTCTCTCGCATATTTGGAATTCCATCGCGTGTCATGTGTGACTGAGCAACTTGCATGAGTGCTCGAGTTCATTTTTTCCCTCTGTGACTAATCCTATATGTACGACATTGCAGAAAAGAAAACGAAAAGCACGTAAGGTAAGTTCAGTTGCGCTCGTTATTTTTAAAACTGTCACTGGTTTCCCCTTGGAGCACGACGTGTGTCGTAGCGCTGCAAACCGAGTTTGCTATTCTGTATTGCATTTTGTTAATAGTAAAAAGCTCTAGCTGAAAGCCCCCATACAGAAAAGAAAAAAAAACATGGAAAGTTCGAACTATCGTTTTACGCGAACTGCTGGTGCACCCTGACTGCGCTTTGAGGTTCGACGTGGAGTGGCCAGAAAGCTTTGCCCGAAGCTACTGGCTAGTTGTGCTATCGTTCCTGTTACGGTGGACAACAAGGAACTTTAGCAAGGCAACATCGTCATGTGGTTGCAGAGCTTCGCGTCATTGTAAGCGTATGAATATACAGCAGCTGCGGAGGGCCGGTAGTCATGAGAATACCGCTATTGATTACTCACGCATCAAAACCTCGTTTCTGTATGTTGCATACCACGAGGTCTCAAACTCTTGAAATGCGGCTATAACATTTGTATTTTTTAAGTATTTCAAGTGGTCCTGGCGATTTCGTTAAAACGGAAGCTGAAGGCGAGGGAGCAAAGGGGGTCGTCTCTGCCCGATATGGCTGTTTATTATTCAAACAACGGGGTAACATCTCGACGAGCTTGTGTATTTTCAAATAAATATAGATCACCGACGTTCATGTAGTGGTGTTTCAGGAGTACATGTTTAACTGCGTGATACACAATTAGATCTCGATTGTCTAAGTGTGCCCTTATCAAAAAACAATGCGGCGCTTATTCGGGCATATCGATACCATCATTGTGGCTCGGAAATGTTCTTGCGCCAGTAGCGTAAGCAAGGGATTCGTGAATTGCGGACGATGAGATTTATAGTAAACCAAGGCGAAAGCATTACATGCCTCATAAAAAGGTGAAAACCGACCCGTGTTGGCGTCTCACGTCGGGAGCGTCAACACTAGTGGTGCAGAAGATCATCTCGTGAGGATGTCAACATATGACGTCGTCGCGACGTGACGAATCTCCATAATTTGTGACGTAACGGGACGTGACGTTGGCTGAGTTCACAGATTGAATAGCGAAGTCTGCATTAGTTCTTTCTAAGCTTGGGAACGCTGGTTCGACTCCTGGCCGCGGTGGCGATCGTTTTGATAAAAGCGTAATGTTTTTTTTTTAAACATCCGTGTACTTAGCTTTAGGTGCACGTTAAAAGAAAAACCAAGGGGTCTGTTTTAATACGGACCCCCCCCCCCCCCCCCTGTGGTGTTTATCATATAACGATAACTGGGTTTTGGCAGGTAAAATCTCAGAAACTACTTTGGCTAACCGGTTCCTTTAAAAATAAAATACAGGCGAGGGCGAAGCGTAGAAGGAAGGGTGTTTTGACTTTACTAACGTGAGTCATGGGGAGAAGCGAAGCTTGCTGTGTTTCGGAAGATAATTCTTTCGTGAGGCACTCGTGGTGCCAATCCTGAAACTGGTCATGTAGCAGTGGACGTAGCCAGGAGGTAGTACACCGGGTCCGTGCCCCCTGTCCCGATTTTTTTTTCCTTTTATACAAAGCACAAATTGACGCTCGACCCCGTCTGCCTGCCCCCCCCCCCTCCCTTCAGATCAAGATTTTTAAGATTATCTTTCATTTATTCATTTTATTTATAATACCTCGAATACCATCAAAGGAAAAGGTTTTACCTGAGAGGCGAGCCTATCTACAAAAGCAGCTCTTCTATAAGATGTGTTTGAAGATGCCCAAGTCGTACACAAGCACTGCCTTAATAGAAAGATCCCTTTAGTCCCTTGATATGTGTGATTGAAGAATAAGATCGGCTTGTGGGAACATGTGAAATAACTTGTGAAAGAAAGAAGTACATATAGTACATCTGAAACAGATTTAATGTGTCATATACACCTATATCGATTGTAACGATAGTTCATGAATTTGACTTTTGTGAAACTATCGTAAGCTTCTTGACAGTCTTATTCTAGTTCATCATACGTGAGAGGTTGAGCTGTTGTAGCAGATGTGGTTAACAAAACTGCCTTCCGTCAACTGTCACAAGAAAAAAAATCGAGGTCTTTAAATTTTGCTTCTAACCACTCACAGAATGCAAGTTTCTTTATTTACCCAGTCAAATCGATCTAGGTGCCACCTCATACAAGCATGACTCTGTATGACGTAGAGGTGGAAACTAAGATACAGTGTCGGTTTTCGACCAAGCTTTATTGGAAAACAGAATGCTTATAAGTAATGTGCTGTCTCGACTCATCCAAACGAAGCATTGCATTCAAAACTGAAATGTCATGAACAAAAAGACAACCTTGAGGTTTAGGCATGGTTCTCGCAGATTCGTTGGTTGTACATTATCTTGAGAACACCTGCGCGACGTTTAAGGGAACATGCATGGACAAACAAACTGTAAGATATGCACCACACACGCGCTGAGATACTCTCAAGCGGTTCCTAAGTTTATCTTTGCTTGTCTGTCCATGTTTTCTTAAAGTTTGCTCTGGTTCTCAAGAACACCCTTAATGAGGACAACGTAACAGGATGATAAATCTTCTGCCATTTAATAAATTTACGTCAAGACAAAACACCATATAAGCGTAAGCACCCCATCTGTTGCTTTATCACAGTTAGAACGTGATAACACGGCTAGGCTTTGAGGCAATCGAGGACCCGTCACACGTGTTTTGATACTGACGCACTGATTCAGGTTGTCTTTTATCTTCCTGTTCTGTATCGTCCTTTTCAACGCGTATATTTTGCCACTCTGCGAAATAAACTTAGTTGAAAGTCAGCGCTCTTTCTGTCTACGCTGTCCCTTTTTTCCTATGTTCGCGCGCTGAAAAAAAAAATTGCAAATATGATCGTATACCCTCGCCAAGTTTTTGTTGTCATCTGAATTAACTAGACAATCGCACAAGCTCTAAGACAATCTTAAGACATAGGACAATAGGATATGCACATGGTCATTTTCTTCAACAAATTTCGTTCCCCACTGCTGCCCCATTGTTTCCACTCAAGTTCGCGTAGTACGTTAATTAATAATCACAGTCATGACTGAATTTGTTGTGCGTTGCGCAAACATCACAGGGTGACATTCCCCCTGTTTTGGACCTGGATGAGGTCAAACATCCGCTGTCGGGGACGGCGTCATCGGCGACGTCGTTGGTGTCGAATTCGAGTGTCAGCGATCGCCACCATGCGAGTCGTCTGAGGAGACGGTCGTCACTGCGAGGCATCGAATCGGTTGCATCTCCTCAGGTAAATGGCGAGCATGGCGCATATCCAGTGGTGTTTTAAGCCACTCATAAACTTTGTACGTTTTCTGCATATAAATACACGCATGCATATGCAGGCGTGTAGCTGGATTTTTTTTTCGCGGGGGAGGGGGGGAGGGGCACCTCTTTGTTTGGGGGGGGGCACCCATATAGGATGACAATTTTTCACTCTGTGTGCTATGCCTGCAAAAAAAATGAGGGGGGGGGGGCACGGGCCTGGTGTCCCACCCCCTGGCTACGCCACTGCACATATAGGCGCATGGGCGAACGTACATAGAGGTGTCGGACCCCCCCTCCCCCTTCTTAAGTACAGGTTAAATAATCGGCGTCCAGTGAAGAGTACAGACACGCCCAGCTTTCTGATGGAGCTTTTCTTAACGAAGCTTGCTGCGTTGCTTCCCTAGACCTCTCTCTAAGACCTCCCGACGTTCTGTTGTGTCAGCTGTCTCCATTATGTGCCGGAAAACGTTTTGATGTCATGCCACTACAACTTTTGCCTTTGACTGCCTCTTTTTTTTTTTTAACTCCTAAAGCCCATTTTCTTGACAGCAGTCATCTTCTCTCTGCATTGTATGACCAGCCTCATATTCATATCTCCCATTGCCATGTCTCTTTTCGATTAGTTGGTAATTGATTAATCGTGAAGAACATAATTGAAAAAAAAAACATTCATAGACATATTTGATCGAACCGAAACACTACTTGTTACACTATTGATCCGTTTTTTGTGGCGCTGAGAAACAGTACGTACACAAACTGTGCGGAAAACATGACGAAAACTTTAGGTGACAATTCTCTCGATTATCCCAGATGTCTTCGAGTGCTGGGAAACTCAATGAGGAGGCTGTGGCGACCACTGTTCCGGAAGACGCGAGCTCGGCTACATCGAAAAGCTTTGGAAGCCAGCCTTCAGTGGAGTACTGTTCGCCAACGGCGGCAGCCAAATCACCGCCAAATCTGCGAAAGTCTTCCGCAGACACACTGCAAAGAACAATCGCGAGACCAATGAGTGCTTCACCTCCAATTAAAACCGAGCGAAGTTCGACCCTCGAGAGGTCCTCCAAGCACATTCCTACCACGCCGTCGCCTTCGAAAGCGCTTGGACACTTCGAAAGAACTCTTTTGTCATCGTCGTTTCAAGAAAACGAAAACTTAAAAAGGGTAACCGTGACAGAGCACGTTCATTGATTAGGAATCATGCTTCTCGCGAAGAATCCGCTTCGCAACTTTTGTCTGACCATTCGCCCAGCAGAATCTACCTCATTGAGCGTTTTAACGACGCCCAAGGAGGCTCTCACTGACCAACAGTCACCGTCGGTTCCATCGGCGAAGACGGCGCCAAGCACATCGGATATTTCTTACGCTCGCTTGACGCCTCGAGGAGAGCGAAGCGACGGAGTACACAAGACGCCGCTTTCTCGAAGGGAGAGCCTGCGAGAGGGCACCCTCATGTCCTTACACGAAGAGCGCCGGCCTATCATCGTCGGCTGCTCGATGGTCGTCGTGGCTGGATTTCTCGTCGTCGTTGTCGTCGTCCTCGTGCTCACGTCGCCGGAAAAGAGAGGCCCGGTCACCTGCGAATCCAGCGCCTGCGTCGAACTCAACGGTCTGCTCAAAGCCAGCATTGACGCGAGCGTGCCTCCGTGCGTGAACTTTTACAAGCACGTCTGCGGTTCGTCGTTCGCGAACGGCCATTCATCAGTGTACCGTCAGCTCGCGCAAACATTTGGCCGTGCCCTCGTTTCCTTCAGCAACGACGACGTCACAGCATCCGCTTTCGGCCAGACTCCCGTCCAGAAGGTAGCTCTGTTTCTCCGCACTTGCCTGCTGACCGTCGCTTACGACAAACAGAGTGAGGTGGCAGAGTTCAGGCGTAAGCTAAAACAGATTGGCGTGGTGTGGCCCAGCTTTTCACAAGCGCCCAATGTTATAGGCACGGCGGCCAAGGTGTACGCGACGTTCCAAGTAGTTCCTCTGCTTAAGATCAAGAGAAGCCGCGTCCGTGACGAAGGCGGTCCGTACGTGATCGTTGAGCCTGACACCGCGATACCCGCTTGGAAAGAAAAGAGAGATGGGATGCGGATCTCCGGAATTTACGAATTGTTTTACGCAGACACCATCGCTATGTACACAGGACAGAAGAGCGTGCCGAGTAGCTCGGAGTTCAAGAAGTTTGAGGGCCTAGAGAGCGCAGTGCTGGAGAAGCTTGCCCGCTCACAAAATGGCCGCCCAGACTACGTGTACCGCACTGTGCACGAGCTCGAGCTTTTGACGCCCAATGTGAAACCCGAAGTGTGGCAGACCGTGGTCACCGGTGACCTCGGACTTTCAACGACGGCAGAGGTCAGAATTCGCGATCCAGAGTACCTGAAGCGCTTCAACGACGTTTTAGGAGAAGTGGAAGAGCGAGACCTGCACTTCTACCTCGACTGGTACGTACTGCAAGCCATGGGTCGGTTCATGAGCGCGTCTCTGTCGAAGCTGTGGTACGCCGAGTCTTGGGCCACGCGGGACACACCGGTGAGCGGAGAGCCATCTTCCAGTACGCCCAGTGTGTCCGACTGTCTGCAACTGACGGAGTCCTTTCTCGGCTGGTCGCTGTTCCAGCACTTTGCGACGGTAAAAGTAGATGCGACCGTTGTGCACAAGGTGAACGCTATGGCAGGACACGATCAACACAGAACTCGCCAAGAGACTAGAAGACGCACCCTGGGTCGCCCATAAGAACTTTTCGCGTCTTGTCAAGGCATTTGCGATGAGGGCCGCCTCAGAAGAGGTGCTCTATCACAGCGCACTGTTTTCGAAACAGGGAACTTTGGCCGCGGCGATGGCGAATGTGAGCGACATGCACCCTTCGTCGTTCTTCATCAACTGGGTGAACGCGGCCGCTACGAGTGCCCGGCTCCCAAAAAGCACTTGGGACCAGGTAGGTGCTGGAAATAATAGAGCTGATCTGTAGTTGGTAGGCATATCCATTCTAAAGGGCATGCAAACACAGTATAAAAATCAAGACGCCACAAAGGCCGACTAACAACTGCAAACGCGCACAAAGGCGCGAAAGAAAGTCATGAAAGTTCATGCAATAGGCGCAACTATCAATCCTGTACTCGTGCATGCAGGTCAACGTGGCAGATATCTGTTAAGGCATTTGATTTCTTTCTATTGAAAGTTAATCGATGGTTGACTAAACCATTTGCCTTCGCTATTATTAATTTCTCATGCCTAAATCATTAAACGTGTTTCTTCATTCCTGTGCCTGAAAAAAAAAACAGTACAATACTCGAAGTTGGGCATTTTCGCTAATGTAAAGAAAGATTAGAAGGTGAGCCTCCTGTTAGCGATTTCTTATGTTCTAACAATATCTGGCTAACAACGGCTCGTCTGTCCTACTTATAAGTGGCCGAAGCTGAAAGGAACCATATACACCACACCTGTATAGAGAAATCAGTGAATTTGATCAGTGAATTTATTGGTGTGCTTGACGCGAAACAAACGTCGACCCTTTTTGTATATTACTTTCTCATTCTTTTTTCTGAACAGCAGCGCAAATATTTGCTAGCTTATTTCCACTCGTAAAAACATCATCAACGCCATATTTACTTGGCACTTTCTTTATCCTGTGAGATATACACAATGAATGTAAGAAATACCTGTCTGATGTTTTTTTTTTTTTAGTTTTTACTATCACTTGCTGCTGGATCACGCTGACACTATAAGAAACGCTGAAGCGAGGAGCATGCACCTCGCGCTGTATCTTCTTTTCAACTTCAGTTTGTCCATCTCCGGAATTATGACGATCCAATATTCACTGCAACAGTACATGCGAGGGAAGGGAAGAGAGCGCGTATCGGGCATCTGCAGTTAGAGCAACATGCTGCGCAATATTCATCTTGCCATTTCATCTAGGACTGCAGATAGCAACTGGGGCGAATGTGCCAGTTTTCAACAACACAATTAACACACACGCACCACTCACGGAAAAAGGAGACGCGTCTGTAATCGCGGTTGAAAAATGAAGCGTTTGGCCCCGGTGTTTAGCAGCGGGTTCAACCCGACGCTGCACTGAAGCCTTTCACAGCTATTGGTTACATGTTCGTGCTTCTTAACGAGGTTGGACACACGTTTGGCTTGGGTTTACCAGAGTGTTTCTTTCACATACCGCTCATTGTGCGTTGCATGATTACGGTCATGGGGAAGCGGTTAAATGCGTCTCGCAATGCGTTAATCACAGTGGTTGTTTTCGAACCACAGGTGGTCAGAGACATCGCAGCCGAAGCCAAAGCGCCGTTAGAGAAAGTCCCGCCGAAATAGGGCATATCGCCCCGGCGAATGCACTCTCGCAAGCATCACATAAGGAGCCTTCACGTGCGCGCCACCCCCGGAAAAAAAAAACAACCCGGAAGCAGCGGGCACATAAAGGCTCCCTATTTAGATTGAATTATCAGCGTAAAAAAGGCAGAACTTTTAGAAAAAGACACACACAGCGCTGTATGAACCAACTCGCCCAAGCAACAGTTTTAGCGAAGACTCCCTAATCACATTGACGCCGCAATGCCACATTGTTGCAAGCGTTTGACTTCGCGAGCAAACTCGCAACGCGGACAATGGCGCGCGAGCACGTCGCTGCGAAGGACGTCCACTGAAAGGCGACGGCCCATGACACCGCTGCCGGACGGTTTTTCGTTTCTCCTAGCCGCATGCAGATTTCGCTGTAGAAACAAAAAGCAGATTCTGTTGTTACGCGGAGGGAACGACATGTGAGGGTGCAAAACATGCCCACCATCCCATTTCGAAGAGGATATACCAAAAATGATAATCATCTAATATACCGCTATCACGCAAATGTCACTGCTACATTGTAGAACATCGCACACGCTCGAACTCTGGCAAGTCTTTTTTACAAGCTCGTACCCGCAGATGTCGACTAGCCACATCGCGGCCATCAGGAACAACGACCACTTCGTCGCCTTTGACTCGGCCAGCCAGTCTGTACGAGTCGCTCCTCACTTGGCCATGATTCCCGTGTTCCACCCGGACCTCACAGACAGCGCCAACTACGGGGCCCTGGGCACGCTCCTGGGGACCGCGTCCGTTCAGCTGCTCATCTCTATGCTGTCGCGCAAGGAATCTCCCCTGCTCGCCGAAGTTGCCAAAAGAATGGACTGCTACGCCGAACCAGCGGCTCTGAAAAACATGACTCTGTCCCGCGAGCGGCTCTACCTCGCCGCCTCGTTACCGCTTGTCTGGGAAGCGTACCAGAATCGCAGGCTTCTCGGAGTTGGCGATCATCGAAAGCTGAAAGACTTCTCGAATGAGAAGTCCTTCTTCGCGACGACCTGCTATTTGCTGTGCGACGGCCGAGACGCGCCGGAAGCTGCAGAGTTCGCCTGCAACGCAGCCGTAAAGAACGTCAAGGCATTCGCTGTCGCATACGGCTGCGAAAAGCAATCTCCTATGCACCCTAGGCAGAGATGCCAGCTGTTCAAATAGGCAGGACCGGCGAGGAACTTATCCGACCTGGAATAATTGCTCTATCGGGGAAACAATATTCAAGTTGCGGGCGTCCTTGTTTCGTGTGTGATGTCTCCTTCAGCGGCATGTTAAGTCGGAAGGTTAAATTATATAGAATCAAGAACATACGTTGACGCATTACAACAAATCTGTAATATAACGATTTATCTTCCATCGCCAAGGCATGTGGATGTTTACAACCGGCTAATAAATAGATATATATTAACGCGATAACGTTAAAGAGCTTTTTTCGTAGAAATTCCGGCGTCGGCGTTGTTGGTTGTGAGTGAAAAATCATCTTTGCATGACCAATCGAGCATCTTTACATGACCAAGAAATCGAGAAATACGTGAGTCCAAGAGCTGCTTCGCGTCTAATAAAATGCTCCCGCATTCGATTAGTAAGCGAGCGTTCACAGAAAAAGGTCTCAAGGTTATGACGCACGCTCACGGAGGGACATGGGGTTCTTTTCTCCTATAGCAGTAGTATAGTAGTAGTAGTAGTAGTATAGTAGTAGTAGTAGTAGTAGTAGTAGTAGTAGTAGTAGTAGTAGTAGTAGTAGTAGTAGTAGTAGTAGTAGTAGTAGTAGTAGTAGTAGTAAACCAGACAGGCTAGACCCATCCGTTCAGATCTGTGGATCAGTTGCAGCTGATCCACCAGGGTTGGGCTAAAGTCCTTTAGGTTGGGCTAGACAGCAGCGCCTCCCATTCATCTCACGTGCCATTGGTGTCGTCTTCTTCATCGTGCTCTGCACGCTCCCCCGTTATGAGAAATAATGGTGGCTCCACACCACGGGCATATGTATCTATATACGCCGTAAGGTAGATTAGGTGGAGAGTGTACAGATTTATGTTAAGTTTTTGTGTGTAATCTTCTTAGCATTGTCGCCTCCGCAGCGCTGAGATTGCAATGTGGGCGTGGATAGAGCTGCCTTCCTTGTAGTACCTAGGAAACGTTGGGAAACAAGGGTCCAAGGGTATAGGGTCCTTTATTGCAGAGTTTTGAGTGGCTCAGTGAGCTGTCTCATCTCGTCTCGTCTAAAGCCTCGAGCCGTCTCGTCCGCATGCAGGGTCCCTGTAACGCCCTCGTGCTTCGGTGCCCTCGTCACAGTCTGAACGTATTTTACCGTAGGGTCCGATCCTGTCCCAACGAATATCCGGAGCGCCTGTGCTCCATTTTTTCCTTTTAGACAGTTTTGCAAGCTTTTTGACGAATCTCTAATGATTGTTAATACAGTGTTTCGCGTCCATCCCTCTTTTACTGCGAGTGCTGAAGCGACCTCTTCTGCTTGTGTTGTCGAGGCTCGATCTTTTGAAGCACAGGCTGCAATTTTCCCTCTACATGGCATGTGACTACACACACAGCTTTCGTTGCATCGGTGTGATAAGACGCGGCGTCAGTGGCCGTGTTCATATCTCTTGTATTTTGTCAATGTAGTCAGCCCTTGCCTTTCTTCTGCCAGCATGCAGAGTATAGGATCCGTGCTGCTTGGTATTGGCAATGCGGTGTACCATTCTCTACGTTCGCTTGGTACCTCTTTCGTTTCTCGGTGTTTTTGTATTAATGCATAATGCCCTAGTTTTTTTAGGACTGCTCTGCCAGTTGGGGTCTGGAGTAGGTGATTTTCTTGCGCTCAGTAGCTGGGCCTCGGATAATTATTCAATTGCGTTATGAAGACCAAGCACCAGTAGCTTGTCTTTTGAAGTATTCCGCGCGCGGTAATCTTAGGACTGTCTTGTAGGTCATTCTTATTATTTGGTTTGCTTTTTATTTCTCTTCTCCTTTCATAATGTGATGCGGAAGCGAGTATAGGTATATATTTTTATTTATTTATTTGATAATACTGTCAACCCTCGCTTGACGGTCGTAACAGGGAGGGATATATAACACGACTGACGAGGATTTTGGCTAGTCTGAGGGCATCTTGTTCTCTCATGCCTTGAACGATTGTTTGTTATACACGAGATTATGCGTGAGATCTGCTGTACCGATGTTTTGAGTTGATTTAGTGTGTGCAGACATCTCTGATTAGCTTGTAGCCGCATACGTATTTGTATGGCATTTTTCTCCGGAATTATATTTGTTTCGAGCCTTACTTCTAGCTTTAGAGTCGGGTCGATCCTCGGTGCTTTTCTCTTCGTGAAGCGAATGAGCTCCGATTTTTCGGCTGAGAATTGAAGACCCCGTATCCTTGCGTACTCTCGATGATGATGATGATGGTGATGCTTGGATCATTGGCACTATGGCGCTAGCTGCCGGTTGTAACCTATCTTCTTTCTCAGAATGCGCTTGAAGCGTGCGACTCCGCTCGTAGTTATTTTTTTATTTATAAAATACTGCAGACCAGCATTCGGTCCATGCAGGAAGGGCACTCGTATTACGCAAGAAAAGAAAATGCAATACCAAAAATAATACAATTATAACAAATAAAGCGCGAACTTTCCCTCACAACTCAGGGAGGCACACGTACGACGTACATAGAAATAAATACAGGGTTGTAACTTCAACCATATTGGTCAAAATTTTATATACAAACTTAAAACACAATACTGAATGCGGGTAGCATAGTAATTTAAGAAAGTTCGTTCCCTACATGCCATAGAATCCCACTCTGACACCGTCCTTGGGAAAAAAATGAATATTTGCAAGTGTCGGTTCTGGCGAAATGAGGGGTTATAACTGAATAAATGTGATCGTGACGTGCATGCCTTGTGAACAGATGTGGTACATATAACACAGGGTCTATAGATAATTCACGATAATTCAGTTAACGGAATTTAAAAATTTTTGCGGCAAGTGATTTCTGAAGCGTCATGTGCTAATAGAGACCCTATTCCATTGTTACTCAGAAAGGTGTTTCAAGACCCCTTCAACAGTTCCGCTGTTCAAACCTGCGCCCGATGTACCCGCAATGAAATTGCAGCCCTTAAAATGAATTTCACAGGGTACAACTTAATTTGACTGCATCCATGATACTGATGATGATGACCACTTGACATGGGAGTGTGAATAAACTTTTATTTGGCCCGGCAAAACGCGTCAAAACGCGACGAAACGGGCACCTGGCTCATTTCCACGACGCAACCGACACCACCTGACTGGTATACGATATCACGTCTTCATGGCGATTACGATGATAATCATCATTATCAATATTTCCAACACTACCTCTCGATGTCATCACCGCTTACCCAACAGTGTACAGGCTTTTACTTTTTTTCGTGTGATTCAATACAGCTGTTGAATATTTTCGACTAAATGTGTTATTCGCTGATCTAGCCCTATAATGAAACATGCACATATAATTTGATACGCCTAGTTATAGTGACGCCACATGTCGAAGGGCACGTGAAATCGCACGAGCTAAGACGAAGAAGAAAGCCTCTGCCAGCCTCCTTACGCAAGAGACCACAATGGCAAGTTTAGTTGCTCAAATTTCTTTGAGGACGTAACCACGGCTATCATATATCGCGATCCCACATGGTCCTGGCATTCTCGCCAGGACTGATCGCTTTAATCGAGTTGCAGTGTGGCTGGTGTTTTTGTGAAAGGTTAACAGCGTGTATCGCTCCTTCCGTTTGCCCTCTAAGACATCTTGTATCCTGAAAATTTTCGCCTTAAAAAAAAATAAACAGTCGGATCAAGGTTAGGAATGATTATATGCGGCCTCAGAACATCCAAAATTACTCTCGCATCGTTAGCAGCCACGGAGAAGATTTTGATACGAAATTACCGGGTCTTCTATAGCACAAGTGTCTCTTAAGTGAATGCAATTTTAGGTGGAGCGCAAGGCCGGCAAGCGGACCGGCTCCGAGGACAATGAAGACGGTGGAAGCCTTCTGCGCATGTCCGAGAACTCGCTCAACCTGTGCCTGCTGGGCGCGGCGGCCGGCGGCATGACGCTTGGGTGGCACATCCGCAACCACGGCGTTTCGGCCCGGCTGCTGCAGCTGATGGACTTCCCGGGCGAGCTGTATATGCGCATGCTCGAGTGCCTCGTCATGCCCGTGGTCGCGTCCAGCATCGTGGCCGGTCTCGGCAGCGTCGACATCATGCTGGCCGGACAGATCGGGCTGCTCGCCATGGTTTACTTCGTACTGGCCACCGGTCAGTCATTTGCGCTTGAGATCTTCAGCTGTTCACGCGTATAAGGCACAAACGTTCCTTGGATTTCTAACCGAACACCCTCCGGAGTACGCAGAGCTTACGACGGCCTCACCTAAAGTCAGCACAGCAAGATGGTGTGTCGCGTTGCTCAGCTGCTACACTACAGCTATATACCAAGGAAGGGCATGGTGACGGGCTAGCTTTTTCACACTTGTCGCGTTAGCATTAATCTACTATAAGCGCAAAAAAAAAAGGAATAACAGATAGCGGCTTTAATCCGTAAAGACGCGGTGACGTTGTTCGGAGTGACAAGGTGTAAAAGAAGTGGGCTGGAAATAGAGGCCACCATCTCGACAACCGAGCTTCAGGCGAACCAGTGGGTGCCTTTTACGGGAACGGCAAAAAAAAAGGGGGGGGGGGGGGGGGGGGCGGGAGGAGGGGGCGCAAAGTGTGCGCCATACCTCGACAGCTGGATCAAAAAGCGGCCAAAAAGCGCCGGGACTCGGGGGAGGGGTGCATAATGAGTCCCCTACATTAATAAAAATAATACCGCTCAAAAATAATACGGCTCAAAATAATACCGCACAGGTGTTTACTCGCTTATCGCTTGGCATCACATCGTCTCCCACAATGCATGGGATCTGCCGTGATTTCTTTTTTTTTTTCGCTAATGAATCGTGGTTTTACGGTTGTGCTGTGAGAACGTAACATCGTGAAAATACGCGGTTCCTTCTAAATGTATACCATCACCGGGCTTAACTGCACGTCATGGTGATTTGTGTTAACACTTTTTTTATTTTTTTTTTGCGCTGTATAGCTGTGTCGTGTGCATTTTCACAAAATTCAGCCGGTTATCTAAGCTGATACGCCAGCGGAGCTTGTCAGAAATTATTCTAAGAGAGAGATGGGAAAGAGAAAGGGTACTCAAGCGCTAAAAAAACCATTAAAGGGGGCAGGGTGGTTTTAAAGAGGGAATGTGGACAAAAATGCACCCCTCAATTGCCTAAGCAAAACACCTCAGAAAAGGGACAAGGTCGAATTAAAACTAATGTATA